TTGCATATGTACATGTCTTTATCTAGACCTCTATAAATGCCCTTTGCAGCCTTCACTGTGAAATAGAACTTGATGTGAAGAAAACAAAAATCGTCACAACTATACCCACAAGAAAGTAACATCACGATACAATGAGAACGGATAAAAGTTGATGAAAAGTTCATCTCACTTGGATACAAAATGAATGCTCCTGGATGTACCATCAAGAAATCAAACAATGGGTTGCATTGGGTAAATCTGCACAAGACTTCTTTAAAGTACTGAAGAGCAAGGATTAATTGGAGGACTGGAGTGGGCCTGACCCAAGACAAAGAATTCTCAATCCGCTCATATGCATGCCAAAGTTGGTCATTGATTAAGGAAAGCTGTAAAAGAACCGATGCTTTGAATGATGGTGCGGGAGAAGATTGGAAGTGCCGTCGACTGCCAAGAGAACAGACAAATCTGTCTGGGAGACAGCCAGAATCCTCCTCAGAAACCAGCATGGTGAGACTTTGTCTTACTCACTTCGCAACTGTGGTCAGCAGGGACCAGTCCCTAGAGGAGGACATCATCCTTTGTGAGGCAGAGGGGTGGTGAAAAAGAGGAAGACCTCTGACAAGATTGATTGACACCATGGCTGCAAAGATGGGCTCAAAAACAACAACAATTCTGAGGATGGTGCCGGAGTGAGCAGCGTTTCATTCTGTTCACAGGGGTCTCCGGATAGGTCTCCGATGGCACTGGAGGACAATAAACTAAACTTTTTAATTGTCCAAGTATAATATTTTACCATAAGAACCCGATGATTTGGTGAGAGTTACAAGACTGTGACAAGAAGACCGTATAAAGCTGACCGATTGCACAGTGCCTAAGAAGCAGTTCTACTCTGACCCCCAGGGTCACCATGCATCACAATGGACTCAATGCCAGCTGGCTTGTTTGGGGGAATTGCTGGGTGATCGTCATGTCATCTGTGAGCAGAGGAAGGAGTCTTTGTGACTCAGGGGGGTTCTTGTTAGGCTGCTACCCATGAGACCATCAAGTGCTCTGGGAGAGAAAGATGGGGTTCTGCTCCCTTAGAGATTTACAGCCTCTGAAGCCCCTGGGGGCAGGTCTGTTCTGTTCTATAGGGTCACTGTGAGAGAAAATGAGCAGAGAGGTTTGTTTCTCCCTTTTTGATTAGTATGTCTTTTGTTTCCGTTCCTTGTTTTATTGCAATGACTAGAAACTTCAATGTGATGTAGACTAGAAATGAGAAGAATGAGCATCGTCATCTTGGCCTTGCTCTTAGAAAGGCAGTTTTTAGCCATTTAAGCATAATGTTAGCATAATGTAGAGTTTACTTGTCTAGAAGCTGCCCTGAAACTTGTCCAGGCTCCCAACAAGAAAGCCTTCATAGACAGACAAGTGCTGGCAGCATCGGGGGTGCCTTAGCCGGGAATTGAACCTGGACCTCCTTCATGGAATGTGAGACTTCTATTGCCGAGCATTTGAAATCCTGGATCTGAGTGAGATGACCATGGGCACTGGGTGTCGGTAGAGAAGCAGAGTATAGTCTGAAAGTCCCAAAGTGCTCCCTGGAGCTTATTACAATGGGCACAGAGGAACCAGAAATATGACTGAGTGAAAAGACAGCCTGAATTTGCATATGAGCAGTGTATGGTCCATTCCACAGTTGATCCCTGGCCCTGTTTGTCTACTGGCATTGAGCTCCATTCTCTTGCTCTCCCTCTCTTATTTAAGGAGAACATTTATTGCATTTCAAAAGTGACAACAGTACAGACACATCACCCAGAAGAGGGAGGCCATTAGCAGGAGGTTAAGATGTCATCAGAGGTTTCACAATTGGAAAGATAGATGAAGAGGGCATGGGAGGGTAAAGCAACCTGTCACAAAAGCATGATTGGTGCCCGACCAAGACCTCACAATGACAGGTGGGATTACCCAGGCAACAGGGCACAAACACCATGAAACAGAGGGTTTAGAAGCTTGGTCAAGCACTTTCAACCAAGCACTTTCAACTCATGACTCAGGAGAGTTAGACCCCCTCTACTGTCCCCAGTACAGCGCCCTCCATCAAGAATTCATCTAGATCAGTGCCTAAGCGAGAGACTGGCCCTCCCTGGGCTGACCAGAAACTGGACAGGAACTGGGACAAGTTTGTCTGAGGACAAGATTGTCTCCATCCTTGGCCAGAGATCAGAAGGAATTCAGTGGAGGCTGCATCTACTCGGGGATCCTGCAAATGGATTATAGGCTGTCACTACTATCATTTGCCTTTTAAATGAGGTGGTCAGGGGTCAATCTCTAATACCATCCCTCCTCTGGTCATCCATCATTGTTATGAACATTTCTTTGATCACACAGGCTGTGGTGTTTCTTCCATGTGGACTTAGCCAAAACCTCACTTGAGATGGCTGCTTGCTTTAAGACAAGTCATATGACACTACCCTTTCTGATAGTTGGGCACTATCGGATTTCTTCACCACACTGTGCTCTGTGCCCATATCTTCAGTGCTGTCTTCGTGAGGGTTAATATTGAGCAGGGCCACAACACAAGAAAAAATTGCTCTTAGATTAGGGCTGTGATTAAGTGACATCTCAAAATCCCTTCATAATTAATGTTTACATTTCTCTATGTTCTACTGTAGAGGCAACATTATCAGCCTCTGGACGTATTGTCTCTCCCACAGATGTAGTCCACTTGATTTCTGTATTACACCTGGCCAACTCCACATGTACAGGTCTCGTATGCTGTTGTAAAAGGTCAGTGAAAGGAGTAAATTGCTGGTTTGTAAATTTCTCTCTGCCTTCTCCAGTTTCATTTTTGTCACGGAAGCCATATTTTCTCATCACTGTCCCTTCCTCTTTGTTTCCACTGTTTGCATTCGAATCACCAATATTTACTACTGGATCCTGATCGTACGTTTGATGGATTTCAAGTGGAAGGTGATAGAATTCTTCGATTTGTTCACCACTAGCTTGACTGAATCTAATCTTGTACAAATTTGAAAAACAGTTGTATTGTATTAACTAGAGTGTCTTGTGCATGTATAGACTTTAAATTAACACAGGTATAATTATGTCCTAACAGATCTTGAAATGTGCATTGGAATTTACATGTGACCCAACTTCTCTTCCATTGGCTATTGTCAGCAGAGTGATACACAGGCCCGTTTGGCTCAGAATGGCCAGCACCAGTCCCTGTCCGCTCACAGTGCCTATTGTGCGGATCTTTATGCATTTCTTTCCTTGCTGGTGATCTGATTGTCCTAGATCCTTGCCTCATACCTGCCATGTTCTGATTATTAGTCGATGTTTGCAGTTGTTTCCTCTCATTTTGAGTTGTGCCCTGTCATCAAATGAAGGTCCTGAAGCTCTACTCCATCCACATCATGACGATCCACTCTGCTTGGAGGAGGCAGCTCTTCCTCTGTCTTATTCTGAGGGCTGCTCTCTGGACTCTCTCTGAGGGGTTCAGCTGAATCCATCTCTTTGTGGATTCATAAGGTCCTCAGAATCGGACAATCTGTTCATTCTTCATGGTCTGTTCTCTCTGGAAGCTCGGCTGACACCCATGAGTCATGAGTGAGACGGACCCGTGTCCTACTGCCCAGCACCACAACACACACAAGCCACCACAGTATGACAGCTTGACAAGAAGAGTGAGGTCCCCAACACTGCCAAGAAGCAGGTGCATGGGAACCTCATTTTGAATGAATCAAGGTGTGAAGGAAAGAAAGATAGAGCTAAGGGACATTGGAATTAGTGGACACCTTGAGAACTTAAACCCAAGGCTGTCTGGAGGCACTGGGAGTCTAACCAGACCCCATGACCTTCCTGAGCTCACACTCAGTTGGCCACTTCACTCCGCAGGGAGCTCTCTGCGCTGCTGCTCCCTCTCCTGCAGGTCTGCTCTCTGGAATGCGGGCTCCCTGCCAGCAGGCTGATGATTTCCTCTTTTGCTCACTCCAGTCCCCGGGTCCCTGCCACATGGTAAGCACAACAACTCACAGTCCATACTGACTGCATGCTTTAACCAACCCGTCCATCATCCCCTGCCAAGAGAGGTCTGAACATTGTCCTCATCAGTCGAGACATGAACAAATTGGAAAAGGAGGCAAAGGAGATTGGTGAGGCCCAAAGGGCAGGGGGCTGGGGCAGCAGTGGGGCTGGACCAGAACAGGCCTGGAATGGAGCTACAGCCCTGTAGGGACAATGGATGGGGACAGGGGCTCAGTAAGTTAAGGGGCTGCAGCAAGGATGGGATCAGCTCGAGCTTAAGGTCTGGCTTGCTCCGTGTCTCCATCCTAGAGCGGCTTCATGGTACGGACACACGTGTCATCCAGGCTGACTTCACTGGGGGCTTGGAGATCTACGGGGCCATTGAGGAAGGGCTGAAGGGCCTGGACATTGGAGTACTGGGTTTGACCTATGGCTTGGGTGAGGCGGGGGTGGAGTGGATGCCAGGCCCAACCATTCTTATGCTGAGCTGGATCCCGGGTCCTCTTGAGGCCACATTTTTTTGGACTGCTGGAGTGACCTAAACCATGTGTTTCCTCTCGTTCAGTGAACAACGTGGGTATGAGTTACTCTTCGCACTTCAGGAAACTGCTGGACTGTGAGAACCCAGCCCAGGTGAGTGACACCTGGCTCCCCAGGCGCAACTGGTCCTCCCGGTCCTGCCCTCTGTTGGAAATCCAGAGCAATGCCCACTCTGTGTTAGAAGGGGTGCTCTCTACCGCCAGCTGCAGGAAGATGGTTGTAGAACCTCCAAGTGTATGAGGCTGGAGGTGTGACTGAGGGCCCTCTGAGGGGGAAGCGCGTCTGCAGTGCGAAACCCACACCACTGTTCAGTTTGGGCCTGGTTCTGCCATTCCCATTTTAACTTCTTAATTGCAGTGAAAATACGTGTGTACGCCACAACACCTTCACCACTTCAACACTTCTAATTCAGTGACACTGAATTAGACACACATTCTCGTGTTGTGGGAATCCTTTGCAAATTATTCTACTACTATTCACATCAATTCAATGCCCACTAACTATCTGCCCCTTTTAATTCTACTTTATGAATGTAAAACTTAATATGAACATAGAGGCCTAGGGACGCTGTGGGGTAATCGTTGGACTGCTAACAGTAAGATCAGTGGTTCAAACCCACCATCAGCTCCACTCGAGGAAAATGAGGCTGTGTGCTCCTGTAAAGGTTTCCAATATCTGACCTATTGAATTGTATGATATGTGACTTATATTGCATAGTAGCTGTTCTTAAAATTTTAATTAAAAAAAAAGATTTATGATCTCACATAGGGTTGCTGATGAATCGGAATAAACTGGACAGCAGGGAGTATGAGTGGGAGATTACTCAGGGAAGGTCAGTGAATGCCATTTGGGCCATATAGATTTATACACCTTTATTGGAACCATATTTTTCTAGTTAAATCCATATATGTGGCTCCAAGTGTATAAATATTCATATATTTTCATATAAGTAAAAACAAAACCAGCCTACTACGATTGAGTCTATTTCAACTTATAGGTATCCCACATAGTATTTCTTAGGCTGCAAAATTTTATTGGTAACAGACAGCCTCGACATTCTTCCTCAGAGCAGCTGATGGATTTGAACCATCAACCTTGAGGTTAGCTGTTCAGTCCTTCCCAATGGCAGCACCAGGATGTGCTCTCAATATAAATATGTATATACACATATATATGCCATTAGGGTTTAGTGAACTATATACTGAACTGCTTAACCACAAAGTCAGTGGTTTGAACTCACCACCCAACCAACTAGAGAGAAATAAGCCTTTCTACTCTCCCTTTGGGCTAGTTATTAATTAGGGTACACTCCATGGCAATGAGTTTGATTACACATTTCCTTTTTGCAAAAAATCCATGGGAAAATGCAATTTTAGAAAATTTTAAGCCCCCTGATGTGTGTGTGTGTAATTGCATTTTAGTGAAAGATTACAGAGGAAATCATATTCCCAGTCAATTACTTCTACACAAGGTTGTGTGATGTCGGTGAGTTTCCTCCCTTGATGTCTCCTCACCTCCTGTCCGTTCAGATGGCTCCTCTCCTACTGACTCCGTCTCAGTGCCCCTCAACCTCCTCTCACGCTCTAGACTCACTTGGTCCATTCGATCTTACAGATCACTTTTAAACAGAAGGTAGCCCTTAAAGGGTGACAGTCTTCCTTTTGCGCCAGCCTGGTACCATCAGAAGGAGCCCTGGTAGTACAGAGTGTAGGCTGATAACCACAAAAATCAGCGGTTCAAACCCACCAGCCTCTCTTGGTGAGAAAGATGAAGCTGTCTACTGTCTTGCAAATCCTCAGGAGGAGTTCCACCCCCTCCTATAGGGTCACCATGCCTGTCTACTGCCATCAAAATTACAACTCTTAAGCTTCAAGTATTGGCCTCTACCTATCAATTGCTAATGAGTGAAGACAATCAATGATGCATGGAAATTAATAGTCAAAAGAACTAATAAACACAGAGACTCACCCCTATGACCCTGAGAGCAGAGCAAGTAGATGGTGCCCAGCCCCCAAGGTCAAGCATTCTGAAAGAGAACATGATGGGAAGTCCTGGGTAGAGTGGAATAAAAGAGTGGACCCAAACTAAAAATAATAATAAATGAAAAAGAACAGGCTAACTCTTCTGGCAGAGACCAGTGGAATCCTGAAACTATGGCCTTTGCTTTTAACCCATTAAAGCCCACTCTGTGGTGTAACTTACAGACCAACAATAGACGGCAGGCCAACAAGGCGGGCAGCAACACCAGAGGGACATGGACGCCCTCTGAGAGCAAAGGTCAGCATTTGCTCAGGGATGAAGCTCGGCAGGAAGAAGGCACGGGAAACAAGGATGGATGGAAACCCAGGGAGCACGTGGGAGAGTGCAGTGACCTTGTGGGGACGGCAGTCCAGGGCACCCATCAAAACGGGTAGGAACCGATGGATGGAAAACCAGTTTACTCTGTCAACTTCCACCCTAGGCACATTTTTAAAACCATATGAGCCGTTTCCACTCTGGACGCACAACAACGACCAGTAGTGCTACAAAGAGTCTCTTGCAACAAATTTGTTTCCCATGAGTGTGGGTATCTTACCATGAATCGGACTTAGACTCCTGATTTGCTGCATTTAAACTCTAGGATGCAGGAGCCAAAGTTTCCGAGTTCCTCTAAAGCAGAGATGAGACAGAGGGTCAGCGGTCAGCAAAAGTCGAGTCCTGGAACTGGCACTCCCAGGCACTAGGAGAGACTGTGTGTGGTCCACTCATTGTGAAAACAAACGGGAGCCGTCGTCACTGAGCCGTCTGTGCAGAAATTGTCAAAAAAGGGACCCTCATATGCCAAGCACACTTGCACTGAAAGCACACAAAGAGTCTTCACTTTGAAACGTGATTATGTTAGAATTCTATGAGTATTCAATAAAACATTACTGTTTTGCTTTGTTAATTCAAGGAAGCGCTATCTTTAAGAAATTAAAACTCACTGTCATGGAGTCGAAGGAGCTCCATACCATAATAGTGATGCACTGGGCTTCGAACTACACGTTCCAACGTTTGACACCATTAGCTGCTCTGAGGGAGAAAGACCAGGCTGTCAACTCCTGTAAAGAGTTACAGTCTCAGAAACCCTCAGGGACAGTTCCACCCTGTGCTATAGGGTCATGATGAGACATCATGGACTTGATGGCAGTGGGTGGTTTGTTGTTGTGATGTTTTAGCCCTGGAGTCGGTTCCAACTCAGAGGGACCCTGCAGAGCCGAGCAGAATTGCAGCGGTGGGTTTCTGAGGCTGTCGGTCTTCACAGGAGCAGAAAGCCGCATCTTTCTTCTCACGGAGGGATTTCAAACCACTGACCTTGTGGTTCACAGCTTCACTCTGAACCCACTATGCCACAGGGCTCCTTCTTCTAAGAACTGGTTCTCTTAAAACTGAGTCTTACATCTCAGGGGGAGGGACCTGTCATCAGAAGGAGGTTGAGAACAATCGCACAGTCGGGAGAATGTCGGGCACGGCACCAGGAGTAGAAATTATTGAAGCCGTGTAAGTGTTACAGTGTCTGTTCCGAACAGTGACCACACCATCAGTAATGTCCATGCAACAGTGCCAAGTCAGGAAACCCGGGAAGGGGGGGGTCTCAAAGGGAGGGAGGGATTGAGTGAACTTCCCGTTCCCATCCCTCAGAGGCTCTCGGATATTGTGAACTGCAACGTGATGTCCGTGGTCCAGGTGAGGCCCAGCCAGGTTGGGTGGGTCTGAGACTACCCTGAGCATCCAGGGGGGCTCCCGGAACACCCAGCACTAGAGGGGTGGGGCAGGATCTCCTGGGAGGGAACGGGGTGAGGGCACTGGAAAGGGGAAGACACACCCTCCCCCTCTTTTCCTCAGATGACCAGAATCGTGCTGCCCCAGATGGTCTCCAGGTAGGAGCCGGCCAAGTCCTCTGCCCACCTCCAGACTGTTTCCATTCTCCAGCTGCCCCGCCCACGTCTCCACCCCTCCCTCCCACGGGTCCCAGTCAAAGAGCTCTGCCCAAGGAGTGGGGGTGGGAAAGCCCCTGTCCCCTGCCCTCTGCCTGCCTGTCACTCCTCCCCAGAGAATGCTCTCTCCTCCAGGCACAGGGGGATCACCGTCAATGTCTCTTCTATGACCGAAAACCACCCCTGGCCATTCTTTGCCACCTACTCAGCCACAAAGGTACCCAGAGCCCACACACCCCAGTCCAGACCTGGGCAGTCCACACCCGAATGTACCCATTAGCACCTCCCTCAAGCCTTGAGGTTAGGCTGAAAACATCTTCAAAAGGGAGGGGTAGGTGGGCCTTGACTCCAGGGTTATTTGTCCAGACGAAAACATACTGTCAGGGATGGATTCTGACCCACAGCCACCCTACAGTACAGAGACCTGCCCCTGAGGGTTTCTGAGACTGTCACTCTAGAAAGGAGCAGACCCCCAAGGAGCAGCTGGTGGGCTTGCACGGAGGGCTCTGTGGTTAGCAGCCCAGCTCGTCACCCACATTCGCGGCGATATCTAGGGCAGAGCCGGACTGTTTATTGTTAGAGAGACGGGCTGGGAGTCATGCGAAGGGACAGAGTGGACCCAGGGAGTTCTTGGAGAGTGGACAGAAGCCGGGCTTGAAGAGACAAGAAGACAGGTGTGGCAGGGAGGGGTCACAACCTGCAGACATCTGGTGTCCCCGTGACCAGTGTGGCCAGGATTCTAGGGCTTCCAGACCTTCAGGGTGCTCCGGAACAGCGATAGTGTTGGGTGGTGGGTGGGCTTTACGTTCTGGGACCCTCCCTCTCTCCTCCTCCACAGGCCTTTGTGCAAAGATTCTCCGCTGCAGTAGGCGCTGAGTATCTCTCTGAAGGTGTCACCGTGCAGGTGTGGGCGGGGCCTCTGGTGGGCGGGGAGTTGGAGGGCGTGGCCTCAGACAAGGTGGGGCCTCAGGGGAAGGAGCTCAGACACCCAGTGGGTGAGATGCTTCCAGTGGGGTGGGACTCAGCAGGGGAGGGGAGGGGAAGGGCCTTTTCTTTACCCTCCACCTTCCTGCAGACCGTGAGCCCAGGTGTGGTCTCCACAAACGTGAGTAAGCACCCCAAAACCGGATTAGTGGTGAAAGATCCCCAAGACTGGACTGAGCAGGCGGTGCACACCCTTGGCCTCTCCTCGCACGCCTCCGGGTGCCTCAGCCACGAGGTGCAGGTGTGTCCCTGGCTGCAGGGTTGGGGCACTACATTCTCTGTCCTTGGGGGGTGGGGGCGGAACAAGCCCCCGCCCTGGGCTGGCCAGGGAGGGGCGAGCTGAGATGCCTAAGAGGGAAGCCGGTCCTGATCCCAGTCCCTTCTCTGTCCTAGAGCTTCCTGATGGGTCTCCTGCCCTCCTGGTATTTTAGCACTCGCTGGGCATCAGAACTGTTGAAACTGCTGACATCTTCCAAGGAAAAAGCCTAGGACAGGAGGTGACGTAGGCGTGGGGGCCGGTCTGCCCGCTCCTGCTTCCAACATCCTGGGCCAGGACTGTGGAATTTAGAATCAATGTGCAGACCGACCAGTGCAGCAGAACTAACTGGATGCCGGGAATTGACATTTAGACCTTTGGGGGAACGACAGTTTTCGTTTTGTTTTTAAATCATTTTATTGGGGGTTCATACAACGCTTATCACAATCCATATGTACATTAATCATCAAGCACATTTGTACATTTGTTGCCGTCATCATCATTCTCAAATTATTTGCTTTCTACTTGAGCCCTTCGTATCAGCTCCTCATTGTTCTCCTCCATCCCCGTCCCCTGCCCTCATGAATCCTTGATAATTTATAAATTATTATTTTGTCATGTCTTACACTGTCCGAGGTCGCCCTCCCTTCACCCACTTTTCTGTTGTCTGTCCCCCAGCGAGGAGGTTATATGTAGATCCTTATAATCAGTTCGCCCTTTCTACCCCATCTTCCCTTCACCCTCCCGGTATCACCACTCTCAGCACTGGTCCTGAAGGGATCATCTGTCCTGGATTCCCTGTGTTTCTGGTTCCTATCTGTACCAGTGTACATCCTCTGGTCTAGCCAGATTTGTAAGGTAGAATTGGGATCATGATAGTAGGGAGGGGAGGGGAGAAGGAGCATTTAAGAACTAGAGGAAAGTTGTATGTTTTATTGTTGCTATACTGCCACCTGACTGGCTCATCCCCTCCAGGTGACCCTTCTGTAAAGGGATGTCCCCTTACCTACAGATGGGCTTTGTGTCCCCAATCTTCAGCCCCCCTCATTATGATTTTTTGTTCTTTGCTGCCTGATAACTGATCCTTTCGACCAATCGTGGTCACGCAGGCTGGTGTGCTTCTTCCATGTGGGCTTTGTTGCTTCTGAGCTAGACAGCCACTTGTTTACCTTCAAGCCTTTAAGACCCCAGACATTATATCTTTTGATAGCCGGGCACCATCAGCTTCTTTACCACATTTGCTTATGCACACATTTGCCTTCAGCGATCACATCGGGAATGTGGGCACACAATGACATGATTTTTTGTTCTTTGATGCCTGATAGTTGATCCCCCCCAACACCTCCGTTAACATGTGACACCAAGACAAGGACATAGCTCTTTGGAGGGAACGTATGTAACTATAGCTATTTACATACAACTTTGTGATTTTCATAAAAAGCCACCGGCGAGCACTTTCAAAGAATGGACTGTAGAGCCTGGAGTTATTTCTCAATTAAAAGATAACTTAAAACAAGAAACACACAGCAGGATAAAATTGAAACCACGGATACAATCAATGCATTGGCCCCTCTAGTGACAATGTCTTATGCAATGTATTATAGTCTATGCCTGTGGCTATACGTAGTCCTATTTTGGTGGGAGCTGCCTGCATTGCTACTGGACAGGATTGAGGTGGATTTTGAACTTGACCACAGTAGAGGCTATGAACCAATTCACCCCTTTTCTTTTCTTGGGCATGTTGTCTGCTGAAAGATAAAATGATCCTCCATCAGAGCCAGTGCTCTGTGGGTAAGAGCCATCTCAGGCACAGAGAGAAACCTCAGGTCCATTGGATGAACAGCATGGTCAAGGACTCTGAAGCGTCAGAGGCCGAGAACAGAGGCACAAGAGGCTGAGGAACAGGGACAGAGGAGAGAAGCAAGGCCAAGACTATGAGACTGAGCAGCGGCAGAACAGTACCCTGGGCTATGTCCCATAGAGACAGAGGTCAAGGGACCATGTGGCTGAGAATCCACAAACTAGAAAGAGACTTAGCAGTTGACTAAGTTAAGGCATTGGCCAATGACAATAACTATTCTTACTGCTTACTAATCCTAGTTTGTGGTAACCTGACAACTTCCCTACTAAACCCCTTGAATTGTGAATGTTGTCTGTGAGGTCTGTGTGGTCATTTCAATGAATTACCAGACCCCATCTAGAAGTAGGTGGAGGGTGGAGGCATGTGTGACTTCTGCCTATGGCAATAAGGAAGAGAGAGGTCAGATGTAGCCACTCTATGCCGCTTGCTGCCTGTGTTAGACAGGATTCTCTAGAGAGATAAAACCAAATTCCTGATGATTTAATATATTTATTTATAAAGATTATTAGATATATAACGAGAAATGAACTGTTAAATCATATACAGATAAATATACAATACAAGAAATAAAACAGATAAATATACAATCATATGCAGATAAATACACAAGAAATAAACAGTTAAATTAGAAGCACTATAAACGGTCACGTCCCTGAGAGAAAGTTGAGAGACTAGCAGTCCTTTAAGTCTCTGCCTGATGCCAGATCTTCCTCTATTTGTAGAGAGAGCTAGGCTATGTCAGCACAGCAGCCAATCACAAGGCAGGTCACCAACCGCCAGTCCCCAGCTCCAGAGATGTCTTAAAGGGACCTCAACTTACAGCGACACAGTCCACAAGCTAGGCATCCCACAGGCAGTGTAGCCTTTAAATTGAGGCACAGAACAAGCAAGGCAGCCGCACACTGGTCCGAAGATCACAGAGCGAGAGACAAGAAAGGCGAGGCTCACCAAACCATTTATCTCTCTGCCCTTCAGTCAATCCCACATGCGTTTATCAGCCAGGCTGGCACAATAAACTATCTCACTGCCAAACTATTGCTCATCCAGTATATCAACGTAAACCTCCAAATGAATCAGAAATCCCTGTGTAATGAAAGAGACACACAAGGAGAGAAAATGAGGTGGGTGAATTCCTTTCGATCTTGTAGAGACCAGCCTCCACAGCCGAATTAGTTTAAGGGGGCAGTTGCACAATTGAGGACATTAAAGAGACATCAGACAAGACAGAGCATACCAAGAGACGGGAACAAGAATGAAGCAGTAATGTATTCTCTTACAAGCTTGTATAATCTGGGGCATGCAAGCCATGGTAAGTACATACATAACGGGAAGGGGTAGTATTAGAGGCATACATGAAACATGAGGGGGATGAGCTAGGGATGTACATGCAATAGGAAGGGGAGGTACTAGAGGCATACATGTGACAGGAAGGCACGTACATAACAAGATGGGCAGCTTCTAGACTTACAATGGTGGCCTAACCTTGGTTGTCGCTGAGCTGGCCGACCTTAAGTGGCACTTAGCTCTTCCCCAGGGGAACACTCTACGATCCTTATCAGAAGGGAGTGGGACTCCTTAAGGTTAGATGATTGGACTGCTTTTGAGGGCTGATAACCATTAGGCAAATAGCCTTCACGCAGTTGACCTTCAAGTGCATATAGTAGCAGCCATGTGCTTGCAAGTAGCACCTTGAAATCGTCATTATTCTGGGGGGACATGATGGGGAATCACTTTTACGTAGGAGAATGTGACAGGATCGCATCTCCAACCTCGGAATGCGCAGGTCTGTGGGAAACAGAAAGATTTCTCCCAAGTCGTCGCCCCCAAATATATGGCAAACTTAGCTGCCTGCTACACATGGCAGATGACTAGACAATTAGAGGTCAACGATAGTAGGTCAGAGGTTATTCTCCCTAAGGATTATCAGTCATCTAGAGCAAACAGACTGTATAGTCTGTCCCACATTAAGTAGGACCCACTCCTTTCTCATAAGGATAGTAGTAGATTGTTTTCCTGAAGGAGATCCCAGGGAGGTCAAGCCCGCTCAAGGATGACCAAGGTTAGTTAGTTTGCCATATTGAGTCTAGGGTCTGCCCTTCTTGTCACATGTATACCCATAATCCCTCCCCTTCCTGTTATGTGTACACCCCTAGCTCATCCTCTTCCTGTTACACTTATGCCCATTGTATATCCCTCTCCTATGGCTTATACAACCCCTTCCTGTGATGTATGTCTTTACCTGTAATCAGGGGGCATGCACACCCCCAAAGATAGCTAAGCCTTGGTTCGCAATACATCGCTCCTCTCTCCTGCCTGCTCTGCCCGAGTTGTGCGTGGACCTGGCTGTTGAGATTATCGCCATCCAGGAGGTGAGCAGGCTACCATGAAAAGTGTCTGACTCCTTTATTTTCCTCTCTCTCCCATCTCTTCTTGTTCTCTATGACTTTACCATAATCTTTACAGATCGCAACTGTACAACTGCGCTTACTGAACCCGTGATTAGTTGTGGGGAGCTGGCTTCCCCCACCAAGGTCTCCCAGACACCTTACCATCTGAGAGGAGAGAATTTGTCCACACACACACTCTTCCCAGTGCTGTTGCCCATATTTCCCCCTTGGCCTTATTTTTTAAATTCAAAAGGGCCACTGAGGCAACATAGTCACTTTCTAAACATCAGAAACCTGACCGCCACGAGCAAAATAATGACATGGACATACCAGAACTTAGGCTACAGGAAATATTTTTAATCCAGGCCCAGGGAGTTAAGCGCAGCACCCCCACCCCCCGCCAGTCCATCACCAATTGCTTAATTGTGCCAATGATAGGGATGATTGAAAATCTAAACGGTTTGAAAATCGGCTTTTAGCTTTCTAATATCTAAAGGGTTATTTCCCTAACCTAAGCTATCGAAAGACTTTGATTGCAAATTTCCTTTTTCAACCCATTGATCTCTAATGAGATGTTTCCTTTAAATCTCTGCCAGTGGCTCCTAATTAAAAGCCCAATCCTGTAAGTTTACATTATATAGATAAGGGATGAAAGATGCAATGTTTAGCATCACATGAAATTGAAAGTTCATAATCTAATATTCTAGTAAGTGAACAGTCATTGCAGTAGTCCGATGATCTTTGTATAAAAATGTTCAGTTATGATAGAGTCCTAGAGCATCTCCCTGGGAACATAACTGGGAAGGCAACAATTCCCGTTCTCACAGATCTGCCAGGGCTTCTTGGTGTCTTGGGTAACTTCAGCTACAGAAAGCAAGGTCTTTGGGTTGTCTTATCACCCTCCAGGTCACACTGTCATCTGGTCCTTACTTCCTGAGCCTGGCCGAACTTAACCCCAAACGGGAATCCATTTACTGACAAAGCAAATAAGTCCTCCCAACG